GTATTTTAAACATGCATGCGCGCTAGGTGACATCACTCGCACAGCAGTCATGGTGATCGCAGTCGCGGCATTGGCTGAGTAGTGGCAACCGCAATTAGGCAAAGTCACTTCATTTTATTGCCTATTTCAAATATTTACCACCATTGACAGCGGTCGACGGCTGTAAACTCTGGGCGCTCGGTCGGCTCAGACCCGTTTACCAGTATGAAGCCGATTTCAACGGTTAGTTAGTGCAGCAAGCCTGCCTGATAATTAATAATAACAACATTATTATTAATAATAATTTAATACATAATAGGATAGGAAAATTAGCCTGAACTGCGGCGCCCATCTCGCATTATAGGGTAAGTTATAAGCAAGGTTTCTAAACGACAAAACACAATCGCTCCTCGCAGAGATGGGCACAAATACATTAAAAAGTATTTAATTACAAATTACAAATACTTACTCATCAAATTTATTTAATTACAATACAAAATACTGCTGGTAAAAAAAAAAATATTTAATTAAAATACAAGTAATTTGTAATTTGAAAATACAAAAATACGAACAAAATTTACAATAATTTGAAGTGCAGAGTAACTGTTAGATACACGTAAGAGTATAGAATATTGGAATATCATCGTTTAGTGTAGAAGATGCGATTTTAACTATGTTGCCGCATACTGCCATAATAAAAGATCATTAGGGTACGCCTGCCACTTGGTGGCGAATTCCGAGAGCCCGAATGTCGTGTGCAGTTGAAAGGCGGTGTTGTGACTGAAGTGTTGAGTCCCAGCTTAGGACCCCTCGCCAGACGTAGTCATACTCAGATTCTAGTCAGAATGTGAGTCTGATGCTCCATTGGGCTGTGATTATGCGGCGTGTTTCAACCGAACCAGGAAAGAAAATTGTTTGAGATGCGCCTTGCCTCGCCTGAAATGTAGTCGAGAGTAGGCGGCTGCAGTGAGAGGAGGAGTGAAAAAAGCGCAGGCAAGCCGGACAGATCGCTCTTCTCGCAGTGGATCTGACACTGTGAGATCAAAGGCGGATATCGCGGGATTGACGGGATTCACACTCGTGCACGGTGTTGCTAATAAACTGGATAGTTTTGTTGCTTGAATATGAAAATAAATATAATGAACAAAAGACACCCAAAGTACTTATTTAATTCCATTTTAAATAGGCCTATGTTTATGAATATTTTTTTCTTTAATACAGATATGTTTTTTTTTTTTTTTTTTTTTTTTTTTTTTTTTACATCACATAGATCGCACTGTCAGAGAGTTTGGGGATATCCACACATAATTTATACACATAAAACATGATATCAGAGTTTTAAAATCAAACATTTTAAAAGAGAACAATACATCACGGTTGTTTAAACCAATGAGCATTAGGCTGTGCCGTAAGCAAGTCGTTTCCCATCATGCTTTTGATCAGCGCAGTCGGTGGAGAGCAACTGCGCGCGACTGCAGAATCCGACACGTGCGCCTTGCGGTCGCGAGAGTTTTTTGACACACGTAAGCATGACATCAGAGCAAGGCGGACCGCACTCGGACACATTTCTAACCGGTGTTCTGTCGATCCGTCCTACCTTGTCAGATTTTCCTACCGTAGCGCAACATTGTAGCCATATCTATCGGTTCATCCTACCACATCGTAAAATCCTACTGCGCGTTTCTGCTTCGCGTCTGTGACTACATAAAATAATTCCGTGTAACTTTGCCGAAGATTCTTATTTGACCAGGTAGGATGATTTTACAGTGCAAATTACCTCATCAGATTGTCCTACCAGTATGAAATAAACGGGTAGGATGATTTTACAGTGCAAATTACCTCATCAGATTGTCCTACCAGTATGAAATAAACGGGTAGGATGATTTTACAGTGCAAATTACCTAATCAGATTGTCCTACCAGTATGAAATAAACGGGTAGGATGATTTTACAGTGCAAATTACCTCATCAGATTGTCCTACCAGTATGAAATAAACGGGTAGGATGATTTTACAGTGCAAATTACCTCATCAGATTGTCCTACCAGTATGAAATAAACTGGTATAATGATTTTACAGTGCAAATTACCTCATCAGATTGTCCTACCAGTATGAAATAAACTGGTATAATGATTTTACAGTGCAAATTACCTCATCAGATTGTCCTACCAGTATGAAATAAAACGGGTAGGATGATTTTACAGTGCAAATTACCTCATCAGATTGTCCTACCAGTAGAAAAATTAACAGATAGGATGATTTGACAGTCTACGTTTTCAATCTGTAGTCCCTGGACAGATGTTACAAATTTACCCTAAAACAGATGATAATGTAAATTGATTATGTAAATTGAAATAAGATTAGTTATTGAGATAATTTATAATCAAGCATATCAATATAGAAAAGAGATTATTAATCAAATTCATTATAAAATTCAAAATCATGCAACACAGAGGCACAATACAAAACAATAATTTATTAATAATATGAACTTAAGACAACACTGTGCTGCAGACTGTTATCAATGCAAATGATAAAGGGACATACACTCTACTGTATACACTCATACAACTATACTACACATTTTTTGCACATAAACACATTTAGGCTACTGAAGTTGCAACATTTAAAATGTGCCCATCTATTGCAGCTCTCACACTGTACCTGAAAATAAAAGAGATGAATATATATATGTAAATTAGTACATTTAAAACAATATAGAATCTGAAAATATGAAAAGAAAAATTACCTTTTCATTTAAATAACAAAATTCTACAAAAAAAAAACACCCAAAAACATGGCACATAAAGTTAAACTATTGCTTTTTGGGTGTGTGTATTATAAGTTGTATACCATTTCAATCATGCTTTCGTTGGGGTCGTCTTCCAGCATGCTGCAAAGCACACAGTACTCCTCTGCATTACCTATACATTTGTTAACATTAAAAAAAGATAGATATGAATTCATTGGACAATCATATCATAATGTACTAAATGTCAACATAAACGCCATGAAAAATACTATCTCAGACCTGTTCTGAAATTAAATTAAATCAAATCATTCTTGCATTACTTTTTGCATCCTTCAAGTTATTTTCTACTCTATAATTTTCTTCTCTATCCCCTCTGTATATTTGGATATTCTTACTTGATTAAATAAATTTTTCAGAGTGAAGATAGCATCTGCAAAGGTGTACAACATGACACACTGTACACTACAATACATACATTACTATGGTATTACAGAATTAAAACAGCACTCACCTCGACATCCAAGAAGTGTGCAGGCTACTTTCATGCGTGCTGAGCTGACCGCTTCAGGCGTAGTCTGAACATTGCTGATCGTTCCTGTCAGCAGGTATTGTTCAGCAAACTGAAACATTAATTGACAGATGATTTAATTAAATTCATTATAACACTTCCAAACCTGAAGCCACTCTTGCAAATATATGAACACATACATTCAATACCAATACTCCACAACTGCTGGAATCCATCTGCAGGTCGTGCTTCAGGGTCCGTAATTGCCACTGGGCTGTTTGCTCATCATCACACCTCAGTTTTAAAAAATTCCTAGATGTCGTTGAGACATTTGTACTGTTTAGAATCGAATAACATTAAAAAAAAATAATAAAAAAAAGATGAAACCATTCTAACAAGGTTACCTCCAGTTCCGCAGAATTTTACGTTCATAAGAACGTTCATTTCCCATTGGGTCAATCACAAGAAGTGTTTTTTCAGGCATGTTGATAATCTGGAATATAATGTCATGTAATCATAAATAAGGTTTTGAAATATTTTTAGATCACTACTAACAACTACAGGAAGCTGCTTAAATAAACCTTTCAATTATTGACCTAAAGCATTAAAGAATGTCTGCAGATTATGGAGAAAGTGTCAACACAGTGATTTAGTTATTTGCAGGTGAATATACAGTAACACATATAAGAATATAAGCGAATGGTAGCAATATACTGAGGGAAAATTCCTATGCCCTACTCCCTTCGAAGAGCAGAGCCCTTGAAGTGGGGACTTTGGAGTGAGCAGGCCAATTGCGTGACATTATGTAGCCGTTTGGAACGCACTTGGTGAAGGGAGCGATGAAAGACAATGTAATTTCCTCATTGACTTCACGTGGGAATGTTCCCACTCTAAAAAAAAAAAAAATTATAGACAGGAGATAAAGATAACAAAGGCTCTTTGCCTTCGTCAGTGAAATATATAGCCTATTTTTGTGTGTGTAGCCTACTTCTCTGCTCACAAGTTTAAAACTTGCAGTGTGTCATCTTTGACCCTGCATTACCTAACACATTTCTTACCTATGAAACTTATTTAAACATAACATGACAAATATCACGAACATGAACAAAACAAAACAACTTAAATTGTTTCCTAGTTAGCTCCCACCAGTGTTTTATTTGACAATACCCCAAGATCACTAAAGAAGAAGAAGAAGAAGAAAAAAACATTTTCTATAATCTCACTTGCAATGTACTTTGAAAAATACACACGCACCACAAGAATCCAATGTGCTCCAACGTTCACAGGGCACAGCCAAATGTCCTCAATGGGAAACTTCATCTGTGAAAAGTGTTTAATAACAAGTTTGTGATGGTTCCAAAACACGTAAATATGATCTACTTTATTACTTTCTGGAAAGCTAAATTACCTTTCCTAGGCATCTGAACTGTCCAGCAAACAACGAACGTGCAACAACTGCACAAAGCTGGTGTACGTGGTTCTGAAAAAAAAAAAAAAAAATTTGTAAGTAGGCCTATATACAATTAATATATACTATAATAATATGTGTTCCTAAATAAGTAGACATTCTATACATACCTGTTGTTTTTCAACGACCAGGTGAAGGTATGCATCAATAACCTAAATTAAGAAAAATAAACATGAATATAAACAAACTAAACTTTGTTTTTGTGAGAAAATAATAAGTAATTTGGGTTTATAAGTCATTTAGACAACCGGCCGATTGGAAAGAAAGGCCACCCATAGCATAAGAATGAATAACTTACTTCATCAGAAAGCCACTCGACCCCTTGCAGTGAGTGAAAAGAAGAGTCATAGAGCTTATATGGCCCAACAACTGCTTCAACCTGACCAGTGACATTTGCAGCCCAGACCTTCATTACTGAAAAAGAAAGACAAAGTTAGTGTTGTCAATAATTTTCTAATTAATCAACTTTACAGGGCCAACGAGCCAACATAAAAAGAACTTGGCAAAATGAACGTGCCAAACATTCAAGGCCGTAGGTTTGGTCTTTACGTTGGAAGAAACAACAATCCACCCCCTACCCCCACATTGGTAGTATATTATATGAAAAATAATGTGATTGAGTTCGCTGAAGTAGCCTATTAGGAAGGACAATTCTGTCCTCCTAAAATGTATGCAAACCTACGCCCTTGCAAACAGTCATCATATCAAAAGTGTACAGGACAGCTAGAGGAAGTGGATATAACTCAAAAACAATTCATGATATCTATATTAAATAAGAAAAATGTAATATTTTGGTGGCCGCAGTTGTGAAGGTTTTTCAGTGAGCTTTGATTTACAAGTACTGTTGGTCTTAGTTCATGCATGGCTAAGTGGTTCATGTAGGTTGTCTACAAACCGAAAGGTTTCATATTTGAAATGTGAGGCAAATATGTAAAGTGATTTGGTGGCCATTGGTCTGTTGAAAGCGCTATATAAATGCAGTCCATTTACCATGCTTTTTTATGATTTATTGGTTTTTATGTCCACTTCCTGTAAATAACGGTGACCTGTGACCAACAGGTCAAAATGGCCACCATGATTTAAACACTGCAAGCAAGCAACAACAAGACCAAACTGGTCAGTTAGGCCAAACTGGCAACTAAGGGTGAACTCTCTTTAAATATAAAACCTTGTTCCTCTGAGATTTGGTTTACATCTGATGGGAACTTTATTGCTGGCTCTTCATCTGTTGGGGTTAGTTTTACCTCCTTGATGTACCCATTTGTTTGGTCAAGCATTTTAGGAGCAACTTGAATAACAGAAGGTCTTTGTAACGCTGAATCTTGGAGCTTCTCAGAATCATTTACCTTGGTCACAGAATGCTGAGTGCTGAGTGTAGGTGCAACAGTGCAAGGAGGCATCTTGCAAGAACTGTTACTCTCTGTAGACCCACTGACTGAGATAACAGAACAGTCATCAGGCACTTTTCCAGTTTGGCTTCTTCTGTATGGTTTAATGTGACCAATGCTATATTTAGTTTTTAAAGTAATCCCTCCAGGTTTGTTTAATGTGACAAGTTTGCCACTGAGTCTCTCAATGATGTAGGGTCCTGAGAAGTCAGGTTCAATCCTTCCTCCTTTTCTTCCACGCTTCCTCATATTCATCAGAAGAACCTCATCACCAACATTGTAAATCAAGTCTTTGTACTTCTTCTGGACCTTTTTAGCATATGCTTCCTTCTGTTTCTCCTGTGATTTACCAATGTTTTCTTCTGCCTGTTTTTTGGCCTCATCTCTCTTTTTTTTATCGGAAACTACATAATCACTAAAACTTGATTCCACAGGGAGACTGATGGTGGAAAGCTAAAAAAAGGCAATATAATTGAAGCAATATAAATTCATTTTTGAACTATTTAAATTTTCACATGTGCATGTAGGCTATATAATGAAAATCCCATGGTAGCATGAGAAGAGGTCCTTTACTAAAAACATGGTTTACTATTCATAACAAACTGTTAGGAATATTAGTGACCCTTATAGTCTGTTGTGGAACAAAGTCCAAAAAATATGATCATTACAGGTTTAAGATCAAAGGTTTTATAACAGATGTTAAAATTGAATACATTTAATCAATTCAGGGTACCAATAATAAAAACGATATTTACTGTATGCTTAGTTTTGTAAAAAAAAAAGAAAATAAGTTTTGCATCATCTACTACAGTACCCATTGGAAATGATTTCAAGGCTAAATTTACTTTAAGAACAATTCTTCTTACATAGGCTAGTATGACAACATTGCTGAAATGACTCCATAAGCACACTCACCGGCATTTCAACAGGAATCTCTGCAGGGAACACTGCCTCTCTCCCATACATTAAAAGAAAAGGGGAGTGTTTTGTGGTGGTGTGGACCTTTGATCGTAAAGAAAACAAGGTGGCATCCAGATAGAGATCCCAGTCATTCTGTTGGTCGTTAACCAATTTCTTGAGGGCTCTAACATGAAACATAAGGGGGGAAGTTTTTTGGAAGTTTTTTGTTTTTTAGAAGGCTTATAAGCGGAAGATGGGTCAAAATGCCATGGGGGGCGGGGGTGAGTTAACTTTTCCTGACCTAGGTACATACAATAATACAACTTACCGTTTAATGTTGTCGTTGGTCTTTTCATCCAGCCCATTCGTTTGAGGATGATATGCTGCTGTCACACTTCTTTTGATGCACAACATTTCACAAAGCCTGTGGTTAAGCTTAAAAAATAAAGGGGAAAAATCACTGTGAATAAATGGGTGAAAAGCTCCTTAAAACATACAGTAGTTGAATACATGTACTGTATCCGTGCAAAAAATATAACAAAAAATATAACAACTCTTTAAAATCTAAAAACAAAGACATTGAGGCTAAACTTAAAATTGTATTTTTATGATTTAATCACTTTAATACTGATCATTTTAAATACACTTACATCATTTACAAATTCCCTTCCCTGATCTGAGAGAATTCTCTGGGGACAACCATGCCTATAAATGATGGAACAGAGATGTCTTCCAACTTCAGCTGCTGTCTTGGTTCTTAAAGGAAAAGCCTCAACCCACTTAGAGAAGTAGTCTGTGGCTGTGAGGATGTATTTAAAGCCATCTGCAGTTTCAGGTAATGGTCCAGTTAAATCAATGCCAACAAGCTCCCAAACAGCAGAAACCTATCAACTCAATAAAATGTAAAGTAAGTTTAGTGTGCATAAAGTAGGTTTAATATATGTATACTGTATGTTACTGCACTTATTTACCTTGATGCACTGTAAGCTCTGCACAGCAGTCAAAGGCTTTCCAACTTTTTGGCACTGATCACATTCCAATACCTTTCAGAAATTGTTGTATATATATATATATATAAATAAATATATATATTAAATATTTGTGAGTTGGTATATATAAACTAAAATAACTATATAAAATAAATAACACATACCCAATTTTCAATGTCAACTGACATGCCATGCCAGTAAAATCTGGCACAGATGGCAGCACGTGTTTTACCAATCCCTGTGTGTCCACCAATGGGCGAGGAATGGAATTCTTCAAAGAGTACCCTGGCTTCCTCTGTCGTTTTTATCACTCTTTTACTTCCGTAAAAAAGCTCTCCATCTACAATAAAGAGAAAACATGACTATGACAGAAGTAAAAGGAAATTTGGCATTGTTGGAAAAGAAAATCAAGATGGCAACAAATGAATAATAAAATAAACATAATTGAAATGTAAAGTTAAAATAACTACCCTTTAGGTTGAATTTAAGGGCATATCTTCGAATGTTCTGCCTTTTGGACTTATCATACCCTGATGGGTACGATCCCACTGACAGAAAATTATACAGTGCTTCCCACTTATCTTCCATAGCTGTCAAAAATGCAAGAAAGAAAAAGAAAATCACAAATATATATATATATATATATATATAGTGCTGTAAATCAATGGGGGGGGGGGGGGGGGGGATTTACTAGATTAATCAATTTTATATGTGATTAATTGTAATTACAAAAAAATATATATACATGTATTATATTTTATAATGCAACAATTTCACAGTTGATCTCCAAATTAATGCAAAAACAATATAGAGTACCGGTATATATTTAAAATATTTGTTTAATGGAGTATTTTTATGAATGAAAACTGCTGTCACTTTAAGACCTGCGCTGCTGAGAGAGACTCGGATCTCACACGCCTCACACTCTTTACGATCATTTTATACTATTTTTAATTAATTTAAAACTGATCTTATGAGGACACTCGACAAAACGGACATTTTGACATAATTGTGTGTGTTTATATTTTACACCAAACAATCAAATCTTAAACCCCGCCTATTATCTAGCCTAATGCTTTCATGAAAAATTCTAATATGATTAATGGTGCTAGCTGGCTTTGTATGAATGTGACCGTAAACAGTTCTCATTACTGCTATGTATCTTTATATAATAATTAATTAACAAAATTAACATAAACAGTGAAAAACTTACCTCAGATGAAGAAGTTCTCACGCAAGTAGTAAAAAATTATGGGCGTGTCGTTCAGCGCGACAAAAATGACGCGATATTGATGTGCGCATGCGCAGTAAGCCTTGGTAGGACCAGAGCCATTTAGAGAGAGAGTTGCGACAACGGAAGTTCTAAATGCTTGGTTGTCACGTGATTCGCGTAGACCTCAGATAGTTCCAGGAAGTGCTTCGGCGCCAATTCAAATCGATGGAGGTAGAGAGCTGAACTGTGATTTTTGGTAGTTTGTAGTCAATAAATGCGTTGGTTTACAATATGTATATAATACATTGACATTTGGATGTAGTATGTGTATGTAGTTACAGCAATATTGTTTTTAAAAGATAAAAATCTGCTGATATTTAATGTTTATTGTGGTCAACCAGTGTTGCCTGCCTTTGTTAACATATTTTCTGGCTAACTTTACCTTGGTTAAAGACCGTTTTGCAGTTGTTTTGAAGTATTTTTGTGTTCTTAAACTTGTATGTTATTTAAGGGTTATCATGTAATGTTCACTATGGTTTCACAAGGACAGGAGACTTGCAGGAAACAGGTGATTGTCTTAAAATGCCATTGCAAACAAGTAAAATTGCATTCATCGTAATGTTTACAATGCTTATGCACTTATTACTATATAAATGAATACATATTTCATTTTAAAACAAAACATGATTATACACACATACATTATTTTCTAAGTGTCCAAGTACATTATTTCCTTAACATAATTTGATAAATTCATGACATACATCACTTAAATCTATAAAACCTATTTAGTTTAAATTAATTTTTAGTACATTTAGATAATACATATTTTATGTTTTGTTATCTTAAACCCCCCAAAATGTCAGGTTGTGTAACTGTCCGCACAAATTAACAGACTAAAATACTAATTTAAATGGTGTTTTAATCATAAAAAAAATAAAAATGAAATTCTATGGCATCATTTTAACCTTTCATATAAACAAATTTTATACATTTCAGTAGATTTATAGCTGATAATTGAAAACCTTTTGTCTAGCAATTTGTATGTCGGGGGGGGGGGGGGGGTGGGGGGGGGGCACAACTGCAAACATGGCTCTCTTATTATGGTAATTGCAGTGTGCATGATAATGCATTGTCCAGAGGAGCCATAATGATCCTTTTAGATCTCTATCAAATACTGGTAATTGCTTTAAAGTTATGGGTAGGTTGGTACACTTTCAGGTGAATTTAAACACTTAGAAATGTTCACAACTGAAACTTGTTCAAATACATTGTTCATGACACAAAAATATACATTACATCAGTTTTGAAAAGATTTTAGACTTTGTTTATTTGTCAATGACCTATATATACACTTTTGCACTGAATTAGCACAATGGGATTTATAAATGTCTAATAAACTGCACGTCAAGCATGTTGTCTGGCCTTTCCTCTATGTTGTCAGACACAGAAAATATGCTCAAGTCAGGAGCAATCTAAATAGAACTTGTGTGCTAATCATACTTAGGTGTATCTGCACTTTTTCCACAAAGACCAACACTGGGAAGTTTAATGTTTATTAAAAATAGGGAGCAAGTAAAGTCTTGCAAAATCCAAGGAGCTGAGACTGATGAGGGTACAGCGTCAGTGCAGGAGTCTTCAGGATCCACCGAATCCTCTTTGTGCTTCTTGTGTTGAAAGAGATAAAGGAAACAAAAACGGGATCAATTATATATAGGAGTTAGTATATAATACAGTTATGGTATTTATAATACCCCATTTAGCCTAGTGTGATTTGATCTAGAACACGGCTTGCTGCCGTTTTAAGCATGTTTTTAATCTTACTTATAAACTTCCATCTCCCTTTCCTATCAATACAAATCAGCTGAGCTAAATCATAATATAGACAGGTAATAGTCAACAGAAACACAATGAATAAAAAACGCCAACCATACGTTTTTCCTTACTCAAATATGAAATCTAAAATAAGGATTTTTCCCCGTTATTGCACATTTAATATGGATTGAAACCGATATTCTCATTTTATCAATTACAACTATCACACTCCCCAATGTTATATTTAACCTCTGTTTAGAAGTATTTCCCTCTTATTACACAACAAAGGATAAACATGCATTAATAGAACGGGTTTAAACATTAATATGCTGTTCGTGGTTTGTTATGCGGTACTAACTTTATCCAATGACCTTTATTTTACCTGATAACGTCCCCTAAAACTACTAATTTAGAGAGCAATAATCAACTAGCATGTTTTAATACAGTTAAACTTACAAGTTAATTGGATTCAGATGTACTGATAATATACAATCTTATTCTTTAAACGTCTTACCTTTTAAAAGTGCATCACAAACGGTCTGTTCTGCTCTAACTCTACCGCGCTGCTGCTACTTCCGGGAACTATTGAGAGGCTCCGCGAGCCGCCATTGCTGTAAAAAACCGTTCCATTGAAGTCAATGGAGTTGTCGCAACTCTCACTCTATATGGCTCTGGGTAGGACAATCTGACGGGTAGGATGGAATGTCAGAACACCGGCATGCATCTCGCGCTGATCACCGTTAATCTGCGCAGATTTTGCTCATCTCAAACAAGCCTAATGCCTCTGCACTCAATAGGATCGACAAATGCCTTGATCATGGTTCTCTGTTCCTCTTTTAAAATGAATGCGCTGTCTACATCTTCTATAATAGACGCGATGGCTGAATCTACACATCTAAATTCTCCAGCGGCAGCCATTCTTTGTTGTAAACGAATTCATCCCAAGCACTCTTTGGTTACGTGGATGATTACGTTACGGTTGATCATCTGTTCATCATCATATAAAGCCCGCACTGACAATTTGATTGGATCGAACAGCTTTGGTTCGGGCATTCTTGCTTCACAACAGATCAAGTCCAGACCGAACTTCCCATCCTCAAATGTTGTGGGCGGGGCTAAATTCGGCTGGCATCCAGGCTATAGGACCCCATTCATATTTTTAAATTTCGCTGCCTTTCTCCTCTGCTATTGACGCAACCTACTATGAAAAGCGCTATACAAATAAACGTATTACTTGATGGCAACAAACTGCTTTTATCTTATATTTTTATCTTATCTTGCAGATAGCAGCGGGATTTAGCTGTAGACCTTCATATCAGCAGGATTTAGCATTCTAGGCCTACATAAAGCTACCACATAACGCTAAAACAGCTCACGTTAGCTACAAGTTACTGCGAGAACAGATTTAGATCAGGCATACTAATGGGGTCCTAAGTTGAGACTCAACCATAGACTTTAAAAAAAGATGGACGACGCCCCTTCGCTCTCTTCCATTGGCCAGAAGTGAAGCCGCGAGTGTCCCGATATGGCGCAGTACTGAGCAGGAAATAAAGCCGCGAAATCAAGGCCCTGCCCTCACTCTCGCAGAATCAATCGCAATCGCAAGCACACGCTCAACTGCACTTTTAGAAATTTAGATATTAAATGTAAAGCTCCAATCTCCTCAGTCCTCCGAAGATCCCGAAAAAAAGTCTGTTGGTGCTTCAGCGACTACTTTGCTCAGAGAACCT